ATAAAAAATTCAAAATTATATTTTTAACAAAAGACTTTAAATATTCAACTTTTTGCCGATAATAGAAATTAATCAGAATTATTAATTTTCGTATATTTCAAATACTATCAACAATAAAAAGGAATTCTGTCGAATACTTTTGTCTCTTATTCTAGAAGGTTCAAAGAATTTTTTAAAGCTAAAAAAAAATTTCGATTTTTTGAAAATTCTACAGTTGTGTAACTCCTTAATACCTTATCAGATATCAACAATGCATTGGCGTAATTTAAAAAAAGTTGATTCAATTGAAAACAAGAAAATAGAATTTCAACGTTATGAAAGTGTTTTTATAACAATGGCAGTGTGCCAGGCTTCTTCCAATGAGTTGGAGTTGAGTTTGTAACTCTAACTTCTAATTCGAAGTTATTCTGTTCGGTTAAACTTTTCTTCTAAAGGAGCGATGGAATTCGGAAACTCTGCATTTCGTTACTTACGTGTTATTTACAACTTTATTATTGAGTCTCGCCTTTGTAAGAAACTTGGCCAAAACTGTCACGTTTTTAGATAATTTTGGTAAAACAATCTCAAATTCCCCCCCAAAAAAAATAAAAAAAAATAAGTAAACTTTAATTTTTCTCTTTTAATTTTTTAATTCTCTCCTTTTTTTGAAAATTAAATTTTGAATTTCGAACAAGAATATTAAAACAAGAATTTGGAAAATTAGCCTGATTTATTATCAAGCTAAAACATGGAAAATTTTAACGTGTGTCATATAAGTTCGCAAAGGGGGATATATAACTGAAACGACTGCCAATTGTAAAGAGAATATAATTGCGTATACCATTGTCAATTCTCGATCACTATAAATTCCCCGCAGTTGTATTAGAGGGGCAAAATGAGCTCAATTTCAAGAAAATGCAACCAGCAATTTTAGATCGTTATCATGGAACGCATTAACTCTGACCAATATAATTAGCAGCATATCCACATGAACGATCGTAACACCAAAATTTCTACACACTAAAACTGGAGAGAGAATATGGGCTTGACCAAACGTGACACGGTTATGATCGTACGCATTTCCGGCAATCATCGTGTTCAACGTAAAATTTCCTAAAAGCCGATTAAACATTCTTTTCACGCAAATATTCCGTTTAAACAACATTTTTTATGGAGTTCTTTTTTTTATGACATTTTTTAACAACCCAAAATAATAATATTGTTAAAGAGGATATGAATGTAAAAATTTTGTTTTAATAAGTTAGTTAACTATCTGTGTAATGAAAATAAACATTTAATTAATACAAATAATTAGTAGACTATTATGTAATAGATTTTTATACGTCGCAATTTTATAATTTTAATAATTATGCCTTAAATCTTAGGAGTTTGTGAAAATTATTGAAATAAGAGGAAAAATTTAAAACTAATGTAAACCAAAGTTTACCAAAGATAAAATAAAAGTGCCGATCGAAAATGCAAAATTATATAATTGGCATTTGGGTACATAGTGATTGGTGGTTTCAGGACAAGAAAGCGGCTCTCTTAGCAGAGGGATTTTGGTGGTAATCCTAGTGAGTGTGGTGAAGGGCGTCTTCATTCTTTTTACAGTAATGGCTCTTTGCTACAGGTACAGTAGCAAAATTTCTAGCAGTGATGAGAGCCCACTGAGCCCAATTGAGCTAAGTGGGTTCAATAAAAAAAAAAAAAATAATAATAAATAAAGCAACGCCTGTTGACGTCACGTAAATTCGTGCCTAGCTGGTTGAAGGAGGCATCGCACGTGGCCGTCAGTGCTCTCATTCTTATATTATCATTAATTTAGCCTACTTATTCAATGTCTTACTATATATATATGTACTTTGTTTTTATGCGCTCCTCTTTTCGCAATAACTATATTCAAATCGTCGACGTATGTATTTTCCCCCTTCTTTTTTAACCTTATGAAAAGTCTATATAAATGAGGTATTCCCCTTTTACTATAACCACTATTAGGGTGAATTCACATGGCAGCGTTTTCTCAATAGACTGGGTTGATTTCCATTGTCCCCACTCGTGAAAATCCCCACTTGACATTTGTCATAATTCTCGTCAACTATCGCACCCTGCTCTAGGGAAAATTTAGTGACTTTATCGTTAAAATGAAAAGTTACTAATTTTTCACTAGTGCAGAGTGCGGTAGTTGACGAGAATTATGACAAATGAGTGGGGACAATGGAAACCAACCATTCAGCATTTGTTAAGGTTGTTTTACAATACTTTCTTTACGGTTGGTTTCTATTATCCTCACTCGCCAAAATCCCTACTTGCCATTTGTCATAATTCTCGTCAACTACCGCACCCTGCTTTAGTAAAGATTTAGTGACATTTAATTTTAACAATAAAGTCACTAAATTTTTAATAGAGCAGGGTGCGGTAGTTGACGAGAATTATGACAAATGGCGAGTGGGGGTTTTTGTTGTGGGGACAATGGTAACCAACCGATTATGGTCTATTTACAATACATAACACAAAACGTTATCATAGGACTTCGCCCTTATCAATTATTGTGTCAAGAATCTCAAGGCGGCAATTTCATTTCTAACCCTCTCTCATCATTTTCTAATATTTGTTTTATTCAAACAAAAAAAAACTATATTTTTTAATTTCTTTTTACTTATAAATAGAATCAAACATAGCGACGATAGAAAATAAATTATTTTTTTTTATTAACGAAATGAATTTCCACTCTTGAGTTTAAAACTTGACTAACTTTCATTTTATTACATGAAACTTTGAGATAATTGATCGTGTGAAACTTGACGGTTTCTCATCATCAGAAAGTTAACATTTGTCTGATTTCATATGAAATTTAAGAGAGATCCATTAACTTTTAGTTTATCTTCTTGGCATTTTGTTGATTTCAACCTAATTGTTGCTACGTGAGCTATATATATTAATTTATCACATATATCGTAATTAAAAAATTATTTACCAAAACATTTTAAAAAAGAAAATTAAATAAATCTCTTAAAGAAATATATTATCACAAAGTTTCAAAAACAATATTATATATGCATGAATCATTTAATGCATCATTCAGAGAAACCAAATCCAATCACTCGGACCGTATTTTGCAAGTGAAATATGGTGAAGACGCCAATCAACCAAAATGCTTTAAATATATAATATGAACGATTTATTTGGAAAATTGATTATAGTTAATAAATATAAGAAAATATATTTTTTTTTTGATCACTTTTTAACAAAACAAATTTTATACTTTCATGTGACCGACTTTGAATTATAATAATAATAATAATAAATATTTATTTTAAGAAAAAAAAATTTTTAAATTTAAATAATAAACGGCGTTCCATTTTTCCTTGAAGCACAATAAGATACCTATTTTAAAATAATAAAAATGCACCAAAATGATATGTACCTGCATCGTTTGCGATCACAAGGAGTATTAAGTGATTTTTAGGTGCATTATATATTTTATATTACATTTGTAAATTTTTTTAAACAATTTTTTTATATTCTATAGGTGCCAACATTGTTTAAAAAAAAAAAAAAAGATAGACCAACCATGCCAGTCGACAATATTGTGCGACGAGTTTTTAAAATATATAAATACACTAAAAAAAGAATTATTTTCTAAATATTGATAAAATAAAACATTTTTATTGCAATTATGATATAGTAAATAAATTTTACTAAAATAATTCTTTTTTTTAGTGTACATATATATTAATATTGTCATATCATACATTATTATATAAACATTAGGGTGCCCCTTATTGCAAAAAAAAAATAATTTTCTTTAACTCAAAAAAAAGTAATTTATTTTTCTTATTAATATTTTTATAATTACTGAGAAGATCAGAATTTTAGGTTTTTTTCCAAATATTTGGATATTTTATGACTTTTTACAAAAAATAGAAAACGTTTCGCTATTTTACATAATTCTCGTCAACTACCGCACCCTGCTCTAGTAGAAATTTATTAACTTTTAATTTTAACAATAAAGTCACTAAATTTTTACTAGAGCAGGGTGCGGTAGTTGACGAGAATTATGACAAATGACAATGGAAATCAACCCTAAAGTTCCCATTTCTCATAATTTTCGGTCAATTACCGCACCCTGTTCTAGTAAAAATGTAGTAACTTTCAATTTTTAATTAAAATGTCACTAAATTTTCACTAGATCAGGGTGCGGTAGTTGACCGAGAATTACGACAAATGACGAACGGAAACTTTGCACAGTGAGGACATTTTCTTTTCAAAATGCCGTCAGAAAGAACGGATGTATAACAATATCCAGAGTTAAATTTAGAATTTAAGGGTCACCCTAAATGAAAAAATATACTGAAACCTCTATAGTGTAGAACTCGATTTCGTTTTACTGCGTCCTTAACAGCAGAAATTATTTTGTAAACAGCTTTGGTTTTCATTGTCCCCACACGCCATTTGTTATAATTCTCGTCAACTACCGCACCCTGCTCTAGGGAAAATTTAGTAACTTTATCGTTAAAATGAAAAGTTACTAATTTTTGCAGAGTGCGGTAGTTGACGAGAATTATGACAAATGAGTGGGGACAATGGAAACCAATATGTAAACACTATGAAAGTGCCACACTTTGGAGGTTCCAGTATATTAAAGGTGCATTCACACCTCAATTAGTTAAATTTGTGATTTACATTAATAAATAATTCTTTTGTATTAAATAAAGACAGCAATCGACTGATTGAGATATGAAAGCAAATAATAATATACATATATATATTTACGTAAAGTTGTGTATTTATTCTCAATGGTGTATACATATTGTAAATTATATGTGCTGATATTGGCTTCTCTGTTTCTTGTCTGTTTCTGTCTGTCACTGGCATCTCTGTCTGTCTGCATGCTGTGGGACGCTCACGGAAACTAAACCACCAACATTACCGCGCACTACGTACAAATGCAAATGGTACCTACTCGATCTCGCTATGGATGACCAAATATTGTTGTCCAACCATTTGTCACGAAATCACAGAGAACTACCACGGCTCTAACACTGTATTTTTAGTTGGTATGCTCATGTCGGTGGTAGGGGGTGTTTTCGTAGTATTTGCTCTGATGGCTCTCTGCTACAGGTCAGTCGTAGTACATAGAAACTTCTCCCTCTGTCTCAGGTTAGTGTGCAGATACTTACACGTAGAATTTCTCTCTCTCTATCTATCTTTTCTATATATATATATATGTCCTTCATATTTTTTTTTTATTCTCATTATCATTGTTATTCAAATTCATTTATTCATTTGTATTTTACATATAAACAAAAAAAAAAAAAAATATTTATATTACCTACAAATTTATACATATATATATTATATATATACATTTTTATTCATCTTTATCGTTTCCACAACTTAGATACTCTCTGTCCTTATACGTTATCAAAAAATTATAATTCTTTATTTTGCATATAAACGATAATCGAGATGCGCCGCTAATTGCTCTTTTACATCGCACGAAACCCAAGCAAACGATCCACTACCTCTACCAACATAATAAACCAGGAGACGTCAACGAATCCCTTCTTTTCATCTTTGTTACACTTGTTACTAATTTTCTTAAGCCGCGTCTACAATAACTTTTTTTGTATCGATTTATTGTTAGGGTACACTCACATGTAGTAGATTTCAGCCAATCAGAAAATTGCAATCGCCTGATTGGCTGAAATCTAGTACATGTGATTGTACCCTAACTGTGTGAATGGATGCAAAAAAAAAGTTGTTGTAGAAACAGCTTTATATAATCATTGAACATAAAAATTAATTTCCATCTTTCATTTATCATTCTAACAAGATCTGCTATTATATCGATTTCTAGGTTATGTCTAGAAATTATTTGAGATTCCCGTACAGTAACCGAATATTTTAGATTTTACAGATGTCCTAAGGTTATGCTTTTGGAAATTAGATCCTAATTACTGAAAGCATAACCTTGGGACATCTATAGCATAATCTGAATATCCGGATGCTGTTAGGGTTATGAGACAGAGAGTAAACAATGGACAGGAATAACATTTAACATTAGAAGAGGTCAGAAGTTTGCTAGCAGGGCTGACAAGTAGCAATCGAAACAGCTGACGCATTGGTTAGTTCAGCCTCCATTGCATAAGGCGCTTCGGTTGTACAACACAAACGTAAAGTTACGCAACAAACACTCAGGTGTATCATCAGTAAACAATTGTCAATGTTTAGTAACTTTCTAGTAATTTTCCAAAAATTTCAATTGTAACTAGAAAGTTTGTAAACATTCACTAGATTTCATTGAAGGTTGGTTTCCATTTTCCCCACTCGCACCCTGCTCTAGTAAAAATTTAGTAACTTTTAATTTTAATAATAAAGTCACTAAATCTTTACTAGAGCAGGGTGCGGTAGTTGATGAGAATTATGACAAATGGCGAGTGGGGATTTTGTCCAGTGAGGACAATGGAAACCAACCTAAAGTATGAACGGCAGATGTCGTCCAATTGGAATTTTTGTCATGTCGTGACAAATTATTTGCATTTATATTGCACAATCGAAACGCCTCATTCTATGGAGGTTGAACTAACTAATGTGTCTGCTGTTTTAATTGCAATTTGTCGGGTCTGTTTACTAGAGTGACAAGAAAGCATCAGGGTTGGGCAATTGTCATGGAAAATTGCTACCATTGGCTGATGGTAAAAACTTGAAAATATCATTAGCCAATGAGAAACGTTTTCCAATTGGGTCGTTATAGTTGTAAACTTAAGGGTCGAGTTCTTGACATATTGAGTACAATACTATTTGTGTCTTCATTCTTCTGGATAGAATTTTTGAGGTTAGTATATAATAATTTTTCACATATATATATTTATAGATAATATATAATTAGAATTTGCGTTAATACTAACAAAAAATATGCAATTTTCTTTCATATATAATTTAAGTCAAAAATGTAATTTTGGAAATTTCACATTTTGAAGCAATAAAACGTACCTAGCTTTCCGTACGCAACTACTTTTGTAATATTGTAAATTTAATCACCGTCAATATTTTAGACAGACCCGAAACTGTGTAATGAAACAATGTAATATGAAATGTTTGTGGGTACAGTGATTTACTGACATTAACATTAGGTATTCATAATAGTGATGTGTTATTCATCATGACTGACTTATATGGTTGCATAAATATAGCAATTTCAGATATATACGAGACAAATTTGTGTCTTTGAAGATTGTATAGTTAAAAAATTATTTTCTAATATTATTGTTTCTGAAAATTATGGTTTATTTTAAAAACTTTTTAATTAAGTAGTTTTTAAATTTCAATACTATTATTTATATTTATCTTTAATCGAAATATGACAATACACCCAACTGCTTAAATGCTGTCCTTCCGGTTCCGGTCACTGGAATCGTAATCGCAAACGCAACCAGAATAATGAGTTAGAGAAGGACAAACAATATGTCTATCCTTCTCTAACTCATTCTTTTGGTTGCGTTTGCGATTATTATTCCGGTTACGTTTCTATTTTGCTCAGGCCTTAACCAATATACACCAACATGCCACGAACTATTAAAATTAGTAAAGAAGCCGAACTTTTCAAGCCGTCAAACCGGAAGAAGAGTATTTATACAATTGGGTGTATTTTTAGAAATGGAGTCAGTAAAAAGTTTCCTATCCATGGCATATTGAATGGTTGGTTTCCATAGTTTCCACATGGACAAAATCCCTACTCGCCATTTGTCATAATTCTCGTCAACTACCGCACCCTGCTCTAGTAAAAATTTAGTAATTTTTAATTTTAACAATAAAGTCACTAAATTTTTACTAGAGCAGGGTGCGGTAGTTGATAAAAATTATGACAAATGGCGAGTGGGGATTTTGGAAATCAACCTACTACATTGGTAATTTGGAGAATTCTTGAACATAGGTTAAAAGAGAAACGGAACGAAAAATGCCTGCTACAACGGTATCGACACCAGATGGCGTATCGTAGTATTCAAGATCCCGATAAAAATAATAAAACTTCAAATAATAATTAAAAACATAAATTTCAGGATCTCCAACAATTGCAATGTCACTCTAGGGGCATTTTTTGATCTTCTAGTGAACTTTCTTAATTTTATTCATGTCGATTTTGCCCTCTACAGGTTAAAAATATTACTAAAATTGGAAGTTCATAAGACAAAGGAAGAACTAAAGGCAGAATCCAAGATTTTTTTTTGAGATTCACAGATGCCATTTTATATCTAAAAAAAACAATACATATTTATATTGGGAAATAATTTTGAGCACTAGATGATTTATACATATATATATATAACATTGACAAGAGTACACGAAGCCTCAATTCGTTTGGGCAGGAAGTAGAATTTGAGTGGCACATGATAATCAGAATATTTAATGAAAGTTCTTATTGAGCTTGAGTCCCGCTGTGAGAGTTGACGTCTTTGAAGTAGATTATCTGGAGATTGCGAGGTATCGATCGGATCGTTTGCTTTGGGGTTTGAAATATCGTCTAACTTTCGAGGTCGTCGACGTAGTAGTTTAGCAAATTTGCTCGCTCGTCGCAAATACATCGGTGTATATAGCGGCGATCGATTTTCTTCGTCCGATTCGCGCGCCATGTCGCTGTGACTGCGGAGTTTCATATATATATATATATATATATATATATATATATACACATACTTGACTTTGTCCTGTTTTGACGGAAACGAGAATCGTTTGACATTTTGACGAAGTTTCACGGCTGTGTGACGCATTGCACGCGCATCGCTCGAGCGCACTTGTAATTGCTCTTTATCTCTCTTACGTTATCTATAGTTAAATGAGTTGACGTTCCCCACTTGCGTCATCTTATTTGCAATCTAAACTATTGATGAGAATTTTTTCACCTTACAAAAAAAAAAAAACGATTTTTAACTTTTTTTTAAACGGAAAGAAATTTTTTTAGTGATGCTTAAGTTTTACTATATTCTAAAATAGAATTGACATTGAATCACGAAAGTATTTCTCTATTATATGGTATATCTGCAGGTTGCTATGGGAACGTACAAGAGTAAGAGGGATAGAAAAGTTTTTTGTTTCTCTTGCTCTTGTGCGTTACCATAGCAACCTGGGATACGATTTTGTAATATTTTGACATTTACTTTCATTTTAACTAACATTATCATTTTTAATTTCATTCTTTAGTGGAAATTTCAGTTAAAATGAAAATAAAACTGAAAATTAAAGTAAATACCCTTAAAAATAATTTATAATCAAACAAATATTTTCAAAAAGTTTTTTTTAAATTCTTTTGAATAACTTAAATATTAGTATTTTTGAGTAAAATGCTTATTTCAAAAAAATAAGTCCGGTGTTATTATTAAAAAAAAAAACTGTAGACATGTTAGAGCATATTTAGAAGAAAGATAAAGTATAAATTATGCAAAATAGTCTCTTTCTAAATGTACGTAACAATAAAAAAAAATAGACAAAAAAAAATAGTTCAAAGAATTACTTACAAAAAGGTTTTTTTTTTTTTTTTTGCTTTATTACCGCCATTAAAACAAGGCGCATACCATCCCCTACCGATATGAACTGAAGGCTCCCTGAAAGCCCATTTACCTCAATGCGCGCACTGTGCGCTTCTAGGGAGACCTTGTCGGCAGGGTCATGAACCCAGGATATTTAATACCAGTGATATACTACCGTCCTTTTTTGAAATATTTTTCCATTTCTACTAGTGATTTAAAACTTTAAAAGCTTTTTTTTTAAGTGATGTGACGAAGAGGCCCAGAAAGAAAAATGTTTTAAGATTTTAAACTTTCAGAGGCCTGTGAGGAGGAAAATTTATTATCTCCATCTTGCTAAAGTAGAGTAATAAAGCAAAAAAGTTAAAACCCTTTTTTTTGGTTACAATGCATTTTAGTTACATGTAGATCTATATTTGCCCGAAATTTAATCTATATTTCTATATATCAAAATATATTTAGATCCTACTTTATCATTGAGCCTAAATTTGACCTATTTTTTCCAACATTAAACCTAATAATCTATATTGGACCTATTTTGAATCTACATAACTTATAATCGACTTATTTTAAACCTATACATTGAGCCTATATTGGACTTACAGAGGTGGCGTTCCTTGCGGAAAAATTTCGAAA